TGTACAGCTCTGACTGAGCGCTCACTGGGATGCCCGTCTCCCTCGTCCGTTATCGTTCCCAGGATGGCTACTGAGAATTCTGAGTGTGAAGCGCTTGTGAAAAGCGCTTTATGTCCACTTGCGTCCGGGCAGTTTTCATGTAAAAACCGTGTGCGATGTCCCTGCTGCTGAACGTGAACTTACCTGCAGAAAAAGTGATTGTACTCTGAATTTTCCCTGTGAAGTGTTTCAAAGTTAGTCACTAGATCTTGTCTTTAGCCCGTCGTGTGTAGTGTTTACCGAAATAGTATTGTGGGGTATTTGTGGGGCATCTGACTGCCTGATGCCTGTAGCATGTATGGCATGGTTGACAGGGGCTGTAGGGAGGCTCCATTCGCATAGGTTGATCGAATTGTCGGGGAGTGCTGACATTGTATGATGTTGCTTGGGAAGTGCTTTATTCGAAATCTAACCACCAGACCCTGGCGTCCTTCCGTCTTCCATCCGAAAAACAGTTTCCGATACTCTTTCCTTCCCAGCCGTCAGCGCTTTTGAAACAGAGGTCTATGATTGAAATTATCATCCTACACTCTCCATAACAACAGTCGCAAGAGGCTACCTCTCTAGCCGTATGCCTGGACGAAAATTGCAGTGACTGACAGAATCGTTACAATAGCTTTACGAGCTGGAGCAATGGCTTGTTCATTCTTGAAATCACCATGTGAATTAAAAAAAAGTGTTCATTCTTGCATCAAAATAGCAAGCACGAAACGGCGAATATCACCTAAAAACGCTATCATTTGTTTTAAATCCGGGTGATACCCATACGTCTGACGTCCTACCCATTCCGGACCTTTCCGCCCCCACACCCGTTTCTGAGTACCACCCGGGGCAGTAGTGTCGTCAGCTGTGCACGGGGTCGGGCCGCCGCCCGCCCGCCGGGGACTAACCGCACTGGTCTGACAGCGCCGGCGGCGGCTCAACACGCTGATGGCCACGCTGGGTTCCGCCGGCCTGAAGCGGACGGGCTCGGCACAGAACCTGGCGCCGCCGTCTGCCGGCCTGCAGCGGGGCCTGTCCGCCAGCCTGCCGCCGTCACCGCAGCGCTCACCGGCGGCCAGCAGGAAGGTAGGAGCGAGCGCCGGGTGAACCGCCTCACCCTGCGCGGGGGCGGGGGCTGTAAACACTGACGGTGGCCGAGGGTGGCGCGGGGAAGGTCGGGCTTGTTTGGTGTGTTAGTTGTTGACGACAGACCGGTAAACTGATGAGTAGTTTCAGAGTATTTCTGTTGGACTGGTCGGGGTCATTCTAAGGGCATGCATTGTCTTCCACGACTGCTGACGCACCTGCTGTTGATTGTAGTGAATGGTTTAGTGTAGTCGGGCCTTTAAAATAACAGTATTTTTAGAGCAGGTATTTTAACGATTAAGTTCTCAGTCCGCACCCTCCACAACGTAGTAGCTGAGTTTGTTGGGGACAAGCTAATATCTAATTTGTAAGCAAACCAGTTTTAGAGACACTTCGTTACCCGCCGACGGCGCCGCTCTTCCCAGAGAATATACTCTGGCCGCGTCAGTTGGCCGCTCCTACCGAAGGCCGAAAGTGCGGACTCTCACCGGAATTGAACCCGCGTGAGCGCGGTCCGTGAGTGCCCGTGTGTTTACTGTAGCTTCTCGGGGAGTGCCGTCGGGCGTCGAGTGGTGTGTCTGGCCCGGTGGTGGGGAAACACCGTCCTGTCTGGAGCGTGGCTTGTCTCTGTGGGTAACCCTGTCCTGTCTGGGTGACGGCTGTATCAGTGTTAAATCGTTTGCGCCTCAATCTGGTTTTATCGAGACGTGAATTTCTTGTTTCTCTAGTGACGGTCTCTCGTTAATTGTGCGACGTTGCATATATCCTTATGGCTTCGTTTTTGTCCTAAGCATGCTTTTGAAAGGTTTTGCCTTTGTGCTGTTTTCCTCTCATTTCTGTTTAATGTTTTTTGTCTTCGGTTTTATAATTCATTATTTTTTCACCTTTCATGGTAGTTTCGGAATCAACTTCCGTTACTCTCCTTCTGTTCTTCTTCCGCTGCAAATAACATTTCATTCATTCCCCGGTTGACTAATACGCCCTCCCCAACCCTTAGGTAACCTCCCCCTCCCCTCCCCACAGAGCTCCCTGACTGCGGGCACCGGTGGCCTCTCCCCCTCTCCCGTTCCCCGACAGCGGGTTTGTCGCACTGGTGACCTCCCCTCCCCCTCTCATGCCCCACAAAGCTGTCTGACGGCGGGCGCCGGTGACCTCCCCTCCCCCCCGTCCCCACAGAGCTCCCTGACGGCGGGCTCGCCGTTCGCGGCCGGCGCCGGTGACCTCCCCTCCCCCTTCCCTCTGCAGAGCTCGCTGACGGCGGGCTCGCCGTTCGCGGCCGGCGCCGGCGGCGAGTGTGACAGTGACGAAGAGCTGGACGTGGCGCTCTCCAACATGCAGAGCTGCGCCAACAACGAGAACCTGGTGCTGGCGGCGCGCGAGCTCGGCTGCCAGCTCTACTGCGAGATGGAGCCGGCCGCCCGCCGAGACCGACTCGAAAACATGGTAGGGGACGGGCGGGATAATCGCAAGCATTATACAGAGAGGCCGTTTGCCGCGACCGACTCGAAAACATGGTAGGGGACGGGCAAATTGTACGAGAAGGAATAGCTGATGTGTTATGACTCAGCAATGTGTTGACGGGACTGGCTAGGTAGTGGAGACTCACAACGTCAAATTTTTTTAAAAAGAAACTGGCATGATGGTGCTGGGATGTGCAGTTTAAAAACCGTCCAAAAGTTTATAAGTGTGAAGGCCCTCCCTGTCTCTGCTGAATTGTCAGATAACGTTGAGGCGAGACCCGGGAAGTCCGGAAGGAATTCCTGCGAAATTCGATAGGCCATGAACTTTATCATAGTTTCATTAAGGGCGCTCGAGCCTGCCCTATGCTCGCAGCGGGCACGTAATCAGCTATTTTCACCGTGCAGCGGCTGACACCCGATTCCCCGGCCATCACTCGCGAGTGGCAGCGGCAGCGATGGGCCGCGCGCGTCCGCTGGTTCGCGGCGCCGCCGCCAGGGGCTCCCGGAGCGCTGGCGGCGTGCCAGGGAGCGCCGGCCGAGCGCGGCTCACGGGCGGTCCGACCCGTCCACCGGCACGCGCCGCTTGCAACAGAGACGGTCTCCTTAGTTAGAGCGTCTGACATGACCCGGATCCCCGCTATGTGCTCCCATTCCCCTTGCCGAGCTCAGACTTCCCATTGTACCCACTCGGATGCGTATCATTGTTAAATATCCTTAACCACGGTAACAGAGCAGAAGAGTTTGGTTGAGATAATGAAGTTTTGGCCCAGTCCCTAAAATAACATACCGAAGCTCTCGCAAGTCGCAAAACTATCGACATAGGAAGACAAATCAAATTATGCTAGACATTCCTGTTAATATGTAATTGTGAACAAAGAGGGTGCATATCCCAAACAAAATTTAGTTCGACGTCACTCAACATTTTAAAGCCCGTCGTTTATGACCTACGGCCGGGCTAACATCCACCGTATGTCTGTGTCACTGTCGACAGTTGTCGAAGCTGCAGGCGGATCTATGTAGACTGTCTCCGCTAATCCCTGTATGTCTGTCTGTGTGTGTCGACAGGTGTCGAAGCTGCAGGCGGAGCTGGACTCTGAGGAGAGCCGCCGCCAGGAGCTGCTGCGCGCTGACCGGCAGGCCGACGGGCCCACCACGCACACGCGCTGCGCCCTGCTGCTCGCCCAATCCGACGAGAAGACCAAGATGCTCGGCATCCTGATGGTCTACTACAACGCCGGGCTGCGCGACGCGCTGGCGGCCGCGCCACCGGCCTGACCGGGGCCCGCCGGCGGCCGCGCGGGCGGCGCGGCGCCGCCGGACAGCTCGTGACCTCACGGGCCGCTCACCTGTGTCGGCCTGCGGCGGAGGGGTCCGGCTGTCTCTGGTTTACTGTGTTATAGCGGGGTCAGACGGCGCAGCTCGACCAGCCCGTCACTCTGCGCTGAGGGCGTGAGAGCGGTGGTCAGCCCTGTGGCGCCCGCCGGTCAGCTGTGGCCCAGCCCCGGAGGTAGGCGGCCCGGCCTCTGAAGCTGACAGAGCGCAGTAATTAATGGCCATCAACGAGTGTTTTCCGTCGTCTCCAGTCCGCTACTTCCCACTTCTGGAGTCCCATCAACCGCAGCTGCCAGCCATAGCAGTAGGACTGCTACTCTGGTCTTCAAGACAGCTACGCCGACACAGTGAGGTCTGTTCACTGTGTGGCTCTCAATGATCTGGTGTGACAGGATAATTCCGGAATATTTCGGTACTTTTGGTCCGCTCCTAGCTCTCTCCATCTCCTCTCGCGCTCTCTCCGTTCGCCTGTGATATCTCTCGGTCTGCCATGAGGACGCTGGTGCGCTCTCCCGGGGAGGCCGGACGCTCCGGACGGGGCCGGCTGGCCGCGGAGCGGATGGTTCGCGGTGCAACTGTGCATATCGGCCGACAGACTGTGAGACGAACGCTGTGCTTTAGCTGTGAGAGCCAGGCTGCTGCAGAGGCGGCCCCGTCGTCGGAGACTAGCAGTGACTTCTAGGGGTTTCATGGGTTCGTATGATGTTTAGGGCATGTGTTCAGTGGTTTGGTGTCGATCCAGTGAGCTTTCTGAGGGGTCTGCGGCCGCCCTTAACACCGGCCCGATATCGTTTCGGCGATGCGACAATCTATTGTTTACCCCTGGTGTGTTGCCATGTCATCTGTAAGGTAATTACTTACGAGTAGATTGGTCACAACGTTCGGCTTCTTTCTCGATGTGCCGGATCTAGGCGGTTTGCTGGTGTAGCTAGTCCATGTGTCAGTTGTCATCGAATTGGAACATTCCTTCCAGTGTTGTTTCCAGTGTCATCGCTTACATTGAATCATCGGTGTCTGGTCCATTATTCTCGCATTCTCCGCTGTTCTTGGAACATGTCTGACCGTTCTACCGACTCTTTAGTGCCCTGGTTCTACCGTTCGGCCGGCGCGTCTCGCTCTGCCGTTCCGCTCCGCTCCAGTCCGCGTGTGTTTGTGGCCGGTGGGTCCTCCGGCGGCGCTGCAGCGATCCCCGTCCCCCGAGGCAGCCCAGCCCCGCCGCTGGCTGGCCGGGCCGGGCCGCTATCACTCGCCGGTGTGTGTGGAAACTTCAGAGAGTGGTCGTAACGCGTGTGTGCTGTGACTAATGTGTGACATGTCTACTCAGTGTGCTCTCTCCCGCGGCCAGAGCTCGTGGCCCATAGTGCAACAAGATATTGCATTTATAGTCGCTTTATTTTGATGCTTGTATTCGGTGATGTTGCCTAATATGTATCATTATTATTTGTTGTCTTGGTGAAGTATGTATGTGATGACAATGTGAGATTATAATTGACAAACAATTTACTAACTATAGTGGAATTACTTATGTATTGTGGGGCTCTATAATGGCATAATGCATTATGTTATGATCTGAATGAAGAGTGTGTGTTCTGGCGTTCTGGCTTAGTTAATTGGTCTTCAACGATAGTGCTTTTGAACTGTGTGCCGTTTTGTATGTGCGTTTTTGAAGATGCTGAGTCCTTGACCTTGTGCCCAGCTACTTAATCTCTACTTGCTATGTTAGGAAACATTTTATGACGGTCGCTAGCGCCGTATATTTGATCAGAGGTGTTCATTCAGGTAGTGTTGAAACGTTTCCCCGTCGATGGGGATGCAGTTTCTTTATGCTAATTTTCCATTGGTTGTGGCATGCTATTGTTCTGAACCTGTACTGGGAAATCTATGAAAAACAACATAATATCAAGTGATTTGTGTTTGGTAGTGCGCAGTAACGACCAAATCCTCATAATGCACAATGCGGAAAAATAATATTCGTTATTCATTTGGGCGACGTGGCCTTCGAGTTAAACTATTCACTATAGGTACGTACCTAGCTTGCTCGCTGCGCTCGCCCGCTCGTAATTACCTACCGTGAATGCATATCACCGATCTCAGATTTTCACGATAGAAATGAGAGAAAAAGGCATTGTAATCCAGTCGAGCTGAAGAGGGGAACCTGCACAACGGTGAGCGAGAGAGAGAGAGAGAGAGAGAGAGAGAGAGAGAGAGAGAGAGAGAGAGAGAGAGAGAGAGAGAGAGAGAGAGAGAGAGAGAGGAGAGAGAGAGAGAGAGAGAGAGAGGGGCAAAAAGGACCACGTGACTAGCGTCCAATCAGGGCTAGCGTCCCAACCTATCACGATGGATGAGCATTGAGCACAAGGTCCAAGGCCCTGAATACGTAAGCATGGATTGGGTACAGGGTATATTGACTTACAATTGGGTATCCCCCTGCTCGCCACCTACTGGACGAAATGAGCACTTTTAGTTCTGTGCTCACAGGTGACAGGACAATCGCACAGCTAGAAGTTTTACAACGGTGGCGTAGACCTATGTTGCTGATAATAATTTGAATATCCACTTGAATTTAACGTTTTCAATTTATGAAAATTAATATTCGAGACATCGTGTTCTCAACGTAGCCTAAAATTTCAACAAACGTTGAACCTAGAAATGCAGCAGAAGTTGGACGCGACCAAGGCCCTATATACCAGGTAGGGTCGTCCGGCGATTCTACCTTTTCGTGACGTCAGCTCGTGACGTCATTTGGAGTCAAGTCTCGAAGCCCCGTTCAATCCTCATGTAAATGAGCGATTTTCGAAGCACTGTAGAATGAAGTCTGCACAAGATATATCAAACTTAAGTATCTTATCTGAAAGAGCAGACAATTTTCTGCAAGTTACCTATTACGTGTTTTTCGCTAAATCTTTTGCTTTTTTCATAAAAGCGTAAAATGTCCCCCCATGTCTCCGCAGCCTCCCTGCCGCCGGCCGCCGCGCGGTCGTGGTAGTGTAGTGGTTAGCGTGCCCGCGCAGTATTCCAAAGGTCCCGAGTTCGAATCTATGCGGTGTGGAACTTTAATTGCAATTCCAAGCTGAACATACGCACATCCATAATAAATTATTATTCGTATAGCTAAACTGTCACCAAGCTATCCATATAAATTGACTTCACCCAAAATATCGGCAAGATTCTATTAAAATATAAATTCAAATATGGCGGCTTGGACTGCCGCGTGCGTTAGGCTCCGCCCATAGCTCCGCCCACATGCGTGACGTCATTCGTGTTAGTGGACACGCAGAGAGATAGGGGACGACATGGGCCTGGACGCGACTATTGAGGATCGAGTAGTAAAGTAATCTTGTTGAGGATCCATTGTCAAAGAAGAAAATTGTCCTGTAGGCCCGCCATGTTTGTTTACATACAGTTGTTATGAGACGTGTGAAGTTTCCCCAAGGATTCATGGAACAAAAATAGGAATTTACAATACAGGGTCTTGAATCGATAATTGTTGTGGGTTCCAGGCGAGATTAAAACTGCTGTAAACGAGGTGAGTAGGCATTGATATGTATTCTGTAAGCTTGAGCTCTACCAAATCAGAGACGAGACGCGATGTTTCAAGCAAGATCAAGTACTCATCAAGATACCTAAAAGAAACAAGAGACCTATAAGGTTTCGCAGATACCTATAAGGTTTCAAGTTTGTGAATGAGATATAGGTGCTAATTAGATCGAATTGTAATTTACATCTCACTTATATTGTTACATGGGCTGATGTTCACAAAAAATGCCAGCTTTCTCTTGCAATTATAGCGCATAGCATATGCACAGCCTCGGAATCGTTCGCTTAGCTGCAAAGTTAACTCGCACCGGGCCGGTGCTCCGCGACCTCTGCGCCGGGCCGTGGGGGGGGGGGTCTGACCCCCCCCCCCCCCCCCGTCTAACTCGGCTCCTGGGCCATGTAGCGTCGCGCGGTAAGCGGCATCCGAAAGAGAGTCAAAATAAGGACGAAAACACTTCGGTCATTTTTTTGGGTCAGGTCGAAGGTCAGGTCGCCAGAGGTCATCAAAGGTCAAATGTCCCTAGTACATTTCAACAATTTTGGAAACTGCCAACGGCTAACTCGGGAACTAATAGAGCTACAGCGCCGCGGAAAAGCGCATTCGATAGCCCTTTTACAGACCTTTCTGAAAATTGTTCTCAGATTTGACCTCAGGTCAACGGTTTAGCCTCCAGAGGGCAAAAACTGTAAAAATAACATTTTTCACGAAAATGGTTTTTCGTCAATAACGTTTGACTCAAGAGAGCTTGGACATTACTTTTGGCAGCATCGTGTTCCTCTCGTCGAGACGAGTCGAAGGAACTATTTGTTGACCTTGAAAGGTCATTTTGAAAATTTGACCTCAGGTCAAGGTAATGACCTGACCGGAAGGGGTCATGATGCATTTCAGTCGATCTGTATCGTCGAGCTGAATACATCTGACGTGTTTTTATCGCTCTAGCACGTCTTTATCAAAAGTTATGGCCAAAAAAACTGCTGGTGACCGTTCATGACCTGAGATGACCTCAGCGGCACACAGAGGGGTCACAGGTGCATTTTTTCCGATTCAGTGTGTCATGTTTACCTATGAACCCATGTTTGTGAGGGTTTTGAACATCATTCGTCCAAAAGAGGCGCATTTCAATTTTCTCTCATTGACTTATAATGGAGAGGTCGCAAAATTGACCTGACCTTAGGTCACCGATATCAAAATTCCGAGATATGCATTTTGAACATACTGTTACTCTTATCAATCGCTGAAATTTTCAAGGCGATCGTTCAGTCGGTGTAGCTATGACGAGGATTGAAACCTTTTCTGACGTGAGGTCACTTGACCTAACCTGGTGACCTGACCTTGAGAGCCCTGGGTCTGAAATTTTCACAACGTGTGTGGAAAAGATGCATGAACAGGTATGCCTTTTTAGATATCTGCGAAAAACCGCGGGGGGTTCAAACACCCCCCCCCCCCCCCGACCGGCGCGGGTTTTAAAAAAGGGTGATTGTATGGCAGTGCGATTATAACGCTTTTTCAGTTTCCCGACTAGCTCAAGCTATGCGACCTTGTTACCGACATGTCAATATAGAGGCAAGTTGAGGGAGGTATGTGCATATTTTGCTCTGTCGAGCGTTGGTCGAGACGCGCCACGCGGTTATATCTTAGGTATATAGGTACACTGTTGACTGTGATTATACATATCGAGGCAGTTATGGAAAAATGAACGGCTCATGGTGTGAACTTCGAAGACCTAGCACTATTCATTTGCCCCATCTTTTATCTGCCGACGATTTCGGCCGTTTGTCCGGGTTTAATTTAGAACTTGGGGGAGCCTCAACAAAGACGCTATTGCAGTTCAGCGCCAATTACTCCGGCCAAACAATGAGCATGACGTCGCGAAGGGCATTATATCTTCATCGGTTATCTCGAGGTATTTTGTGGGTGTTTCACGATAGGAGCTCTGCAGCCATCAGTGACGAGGATATACGGGATATACCTGCATGCATACAATACATTCCTCGGGATTCATGGAATCGCCCAAAGTTGTGCCATGAAAGGTCGACAATGCATAAGTTTAATCGTTTTTCGTAAGATGTACTGGGTGTGGTTACGTGACCGCGCGAATGTGTCAGTCTTCAAGAAGTCAGCCGCCTCCCACTCAAGCACGATACCGTCTAAGTCTTATGTTTACCGTATGTTCCTGCGGTGTGCATAAGTACAAAAACATTTTAGGTAGCAAGATAAATCCCACAATGCAAACAGGAACTTGGTGACCACCATAACGTGCGTCTGAATATCATGCATCACTGGCTGTGCAAGACGACCTGACAGGCGGTGACCAACGCTCCGTCTCCATTTTCAGCTACCAGACCTCGCATCTCGCCGACCATGAGGGAGTACAGGCTGGCGACCTACGCGCGGCTGACGTCGGCCGAGGCGTGGGACGACTGCGGCACGGCCGCCGGCCAGCAGCCGCTGAAGCTCAGCCTGCTGGAGGTGGGCTTCCTGGTCATCTCGGCCGGCTCGCGCGAGCTGGAGGCTCTCAGCATCAGCTCTGACCAGCAGGCCTTCCGTGCCGTCTACCGCGATAAGCACGTGCTCTTCCTGCAGCGGATCGGCGACCAGTTTCGCCGCTTTCGGGTGAAGTTCGTGCACAGGAGAGAGGCGGCCGACTGCGTTTACGAGATCTCGAAGAAGATCCACGTCAGGGACGGCGAGCGGCTGGAGGTGGCGCGGAAGGAGTCGGCCGGCGGCGGTGCCGAGGGCGGAGAGGTGGTGGTGCTGCGGGGAGACGTGGCTCTCGGGGAGCTGGCGGCGGCCATTCTGGAGCCCCAGACGTCCCACCTGCCGGCGGCCTACTCCGCCACCGCGGCCAGCATGTCCACTGAGGAGATGGAGGAGGCCATCCGACTGCACATCATGGACGCCGCGTTCCCCGGATTTGTCGAGACGGTGGAGCAGCTCATTCGACAGATGGCAGCTTCATGAAGCGCTGGCAGCAAGCTCATATATCATACTTGGGTTTCTTTCATACGGTTTCGCAATAAAAATGTTTTAAATTAAACCGTTTTTATGACAAAGGATAGTGCTCCCGAGCTATTTAACAAATTTTTACATAGGTATGCATTGCGAAAATATTGAATTAGTTATATGTAGCAGATGACAATTTGTTTGTGCGTCTGAAATGCGCCATTCATCGACATTATTCTAGGACGAACAAATTAAAGGAGTGCAGAAACCCGTTTAAATTTTGTCTTTGTACAAAGTTTGCTTCGTGGTAATTCCGTGTTGCGAAATCAACCATGCTTGACACTCGTATAATTACGACGGGAAAGACTGATTACCTACATGAGTTAAATCTCAAATTCAATCTCGCAATACCAGCATAATTCCCAC